CCCAAGAGTATCCCGGAAATGTCTGGTGAATTATCAGTAGATTGCTGTTTCCTTACTTACTTCATCATGAGCTTTTCTTGGGCCATGTATGTGGGGGGACAGGGGTGCATGTGAAGAAGTATACGGTGGTTTTTTTTAGAGGAAATGAAAATGTAGCATCTTCTAAATCACAAAAGAGGGTCCTGTTGGATTGTCCATTGTTTCGGGATAGTTCCTCTTGCCACCATTGTCACAGAGATCTGAGAGCTGATGATATGTAAGAATAGGAAGTCCACCTTCAATGAAATGTCCCCTCTTGCCCATTGCCATTAATATTTTAGTATTCATTTAATATATGCTTTACTTGACCATGAGCCATTTTTGCCTGATGCTTTTTTCTGATGCATTTGCCTATGACTCAGCTTTGGCATTCAAGGGGGAAAAGTTAACCTTGTCTTATTATTGATATTTTGGTCTTCCCAAGAGCAATTGTGTCTTTATCTATCATAGCGCCCTATCCATAATACACAGTAAGTAAAAGTTTGCCTTTTGGAAGGAAGCACAGTGATGAAGGTCTTGATCAACTAGGATTGGAGAGCTTAGGTTTCACAATCCCACCCTCTATCCTTATGAGCCTGTAAAGTTAGAAATGCTTGCCTCCTTTGGCTGTAAAATGAGGATCGTGGTGGTACCCACCTCAGTGAGTGTTAAAGAATAATAGTACAGTGCCTGGCATGCAGTGGGAACTCACTAACTGTTTGAAAACCAGACTTCAGTGTGCAGATTTGTTGTTTTCTATTCATTCAGCTCAATACAGAGAGAGATACAAATTGGAAACCAGGGATATACATGGTTTTTAAATCAAATTACAACTAGAGTTATTTTACAGGTAAGGCAGATGAAAGGGGAAGCTAAGCAGACATTTTGTCATGACTCTCCATGCATCATATTAGTACCCAAACCAATAAAACATTGACCGCCAGCAACCCTATGCTCACAGTACCCATTTCATCTCCTTCCCATTACTTGGTAATGTTAGCATTTGTTTAAGTTTTCTTGAAGAACCAAAGTATTCTAATCTCAAAAATATTTGGAAAGCACTGATTTAGTGATATTTGGTCTTTAAATACCATTCCTCATTAAAAGGGACCAGGGTTCACTCAAGAAATGACCAGTTTTAGGACCAAAGCAGGGAAAATACATAATGAGCTGATGAGGAGGTCTTAACTAATGGAAATGGTAGGAACGTGGCAGTGTGATCGAGGAATCTGTTTGAAGTCTCCTATTGGGCAAATCTGAGAGTTTGGGCATCAGCAATACTGAAAGTGATGGATTATAACCCGCTGGATACAATAAAAACAAAAATAAATGATTCCTTATTGATATAGACAAATGAAGGAGTGAATAAACGAGATGGGAAGGCGATTTCTTACACAAGAATGCCATGAATGGACATAGGAATATGGCAGAGTGAGAAAATCATCAATGGATACTAAAAATGGTAGGTTAAGTTTAGCTGAGGAAGAAGATATTTATGTAATTCAAAATATCTTCCTACAAAGTACTTTTTAATTACAAAAGGAGAATTAATGACGTGATAGTAGAGAAGCCTAGCAGACATCACCTTAACCATGTGATCAAGTACAACACCCATTTACTGTGCTTCCTGGCATGGTGCGCTGTGAAGACACAGTATTACTACTGTGGTAACCTACCCAAAATGTACCCTGTAATCTAGTCCTAAAAACCATGAGACAGGCCCCAATTCTGCATGATAACTGGCCTGTACACTTCACCCTACCAGAGTGAAGAAAGGCTGAGGGGCTGCTCCAGATGAAGCTTGGGGGTGGGAGGGGTCAGTATAGAGACATGACAACTAATGCAAAGTTTGATCATAGATTGGATTCCTGGGCTGAGAACCCATATAATGACCCACAATGGGCTTATTTGGGCACTTGCCAGAAAAATGCACTATAAATGAGATAATAGTGTTGCATCAAAGTGAAATTTGCTAATTTTATAATTATACTGTAATGATATTTAAGAGAACATCCTTATGCTTAGAAATTATGCACGTAAGTATTTATAGGTGACGGGGTATATTATCTCCCATTTGGTAAGAAATTACTCAGAAAAAGCCTTTTATGTGGGGAGATAGAGAGGACGCAAGTGGAGTAAAATGTAAATAGTTGGTAGCAGTGGGTGAAAGATATGTGTGTGCAACAGTGAATCGATCTCTTTATTGCTGCGTTTTCCACATCCTTTCAGCTTATGTGCATCATGGTTTTTCAGGAGGATGATTGCTGGGCAGTGGGCGTCACTTACTTTCACACTATTAGGAAGAACACACTTTGGAGGATGCTCTGAGTGTGGCTCTTGAGAGCAGGTACAGAATGTTGATGGGCTACTCAAGGTATTTAGTAGCCACCCAACTCCTTCCAAAGGTACTTTTGGAAAATAGGTTTCTAGCCTTTTCTCAAATATGTCTCATCAAGAATAAAACTAAGATAACTTAAAGTCCATTTCACTCAGCAAAACTCCATCTACTTATTTACTCTCCTATTTACGATAGCTTCAAACGTTAGCATAATTCAGTGGACTACAACTTGAGAGGACTAGCCAGGAAAATTGATATTTCCCACTTGTGCTGCCGTTCCTTTTATGAGACATTGCATTATCCTGATGGGTGGAGCCATGACTCAAAGACATTTTCTAAAAATGAATTTTCTCACCCAGTTGTAAATGAAAGTGCCCTTGAAGAAGACTTAAAGTATTTTGTATCAGACACTATTCAGGTGATGCATTACACAATGCCCCCCTGGCACATATGCCAAAGAATAAGAAAACCTTCTGTGAACTTACTTAATTTGAGGGCCTGAGTTTTAAAAGGAAAGTGAAGTGTAATTTTCTGACTGTGGAGTATCTTCCTTGGGATAGTAGCCATGTACCCGAAGCAATTCACCCAGCATTAAACTGTTTTAATCTGCACCTCATTGAATGGATTTTTCTCAGTATAAATTCATGATGTCTAAAGCTGTCCAAACCCAAATACAACACATTTGTAAGAAGCTGCAGTCTCAGTGGGAATTCGCAGTCTGGGAAAAATAATTCACTGTAAGAAAGAAAATCCTCTAAAAGAATCTACCCATTCTTCTACCATTTACTTGGGTACCTGTGTTCTTCTAGACAGTGTCCTGATTTAGATACCAGATTTCACCCTTCAAAAAAGAAATTTCACCTTGTTCTTTTTTTTTAAATATATTTTATTGATTTTTTACAGAGAGGAAGGGAGAGAGATAGAGAGTTAGAAACATCAATGAGAGAGAAACATCGATCAGCCGCCTCCTGCACATCTCCTACTGGGGATGTGTCCGCAACCAAGGTACATGCCCTTGACCGGAATCGAACCTGGGACCTTTCAGTCCACAGGCCGACGCTCTATCCCCTGAGCCAAACCGGTTTCGGCTCACCTTGTTCTTATTGGTGAACTCAATTAACATCTTGGTTAAATCAGTCGACAGGACTCTGTTTACCTTTGACCTGTACTTCTGCTAGTCTCTGTGATTATGTTTTCCCCACTGGGAATTTATCATTAATCAGTATAAACTCTCCAAACTCCATCTGGGGTGTGGTTGTTCAGTCTATTACAGAAAATAGCATCATGTCATTTGGAAAAATGGGGAAAAGAGATCAAGGAAGAGATCTAATGATATAGGAGATTTGGTTTACTGTAAGG